AAAAAAAAACACACACATCATTGTAAAATCAATACATTCATCACTTCGTTCAGAATCTAAAATAGGGGTGAACAGAGATTATGCCTAGAGATTCACATTAAAAATTATTATCGATACAATTTCGATCTATAATAATATAATAATATTATTGAAATGTGTAGTATTATGTTGGTGGGTCGAATGATTATATTCAGCTGAGCTTACGATTTTTTCTTTAGAATAATCATCAATATTTTTTCGTTTGATGATTTCTCGGTTCGATTTAGATAATTCTTTGAGTACTTCATTAAGCACCTTATTTTCTTCCTTCAAATCCATGTATTTTTGTTCGTGATTCGCGTTCTGTTTATTGCCTATGTCCAACTATAATTATTGGAAATGTATTTAATTATCAATATCMGAAATAAATAAATGTAGATACCATACCATTTCTTTAAGATCAAGAACTTCTTTTGTACTCGCCCCTTCGACTGGACATTCAACCGTCAATGATTGTTTTTTCATATGTACCGAGAAATCTACACATCGTTTTAACATATTTCTTTTCTCACTAAATTTTAAATAAATAATAACAATTRATTATACRGTTATCAATTAATATTAAAACTACATAGAAATGTCTATACCTTTATTATTTTATAAATCAGCCACGTAATAATGCTTACATTTGTTCATTTTTAAATTTATTTTCCTCCAGATTTTTCAATGCAACCTTATATTTTTTATCCGCGATTACATTTTGCTCTTTAATATTTGTGTATTTCTGTTCGAGTACTTTTGCTTGGTTAGAAAATTCATGCAATTTATTTAATCTTCCCACTGATGTGTCAGGAAATATTTTTATTTAGTTTTATACCACGTAAAAAAGTTTGTAATGTTGACATATTACATTCGTATACCAAAATATAATATTAATATTACTTTTTTAATATAATCATTAGGTACGTAGGTAGGTAACTAGTAACTACAGTATATCAGTGTACTACCCACCGTATATAGCAGTAATCGATTTAAATTTTCCCGCTTCTCTAATGAATTCATCATGTTGTTCTTTTAATTTACATATACCTTTTTCTTCCATAAAATCGAATTCCTATATAACTTTTAAGCGTGATTGATTTATTGTCATTAAAAACATTAACATTTAAAACTATCGAAATAATTGGTCATACTTGTTTTAGCTGAGCAGTTTCCGCCTTTAATAGCTTTTCAAAATTAATTTTCTCGTYCAAAATCTCCTTTAAATATTCGTAATCATTTTTTAACTTGTTATTTAAGCGATTGAGTTTACCTTTAAATTTCTCTTTTTTATTATTAAAACCTTTGATCTCATAATTTAACCTATGGTTAACATATCAATAATAGTATTTTTACAAAACACAGTTTTTCATTTTGTAATGACAACTAAATATATCATTCTAACCTAGTAATAATTTTTTCTTTAGCATCAAATTGGATTTCAAAAAATGTCTTGCCCACTTCATTAATTTTAATTTCATCTTGATTAATTTTAGATTTACTTGTCTGAATCATAATAGCTGTTTATTGAATTGAAAATTAAAAACAAATATTTAATACAGTTAGTATGTACGATCGCGAACTATATAAATCACTTTAATGACAACCGAACAATGTTAAATCAAAAAACTTAATTTTAACTGTATACATAGATACAGAACATATTATTATTTAAATACATGAGCCAGGCATACAATTCTGAATATTCTGAAAATATTTTGTTTTTATATATAATATAATTCTATGGAATATGAATTTCAAATAAAATGTAATATCAATTATCAGTTATATATGATCAATATTATTAATTATTAATTTTATATAAATATTCACAAATATAACACAGTTAGTAAACAAGAATTATTATTAATARTACCAACCTACATTTTAATGTTTACCATTAACATATACCCCATWGTATTTATATTGTATTATCATTAATCAATGATATCCAACTCAAAACTGAATAATATTTACAATTTATTTTGATTAACAAAATTATTTAAATTAAATAAAAATATTATCTAAGCAAAACTGATTAGAAAAATCAAAACGACAAGATTTTTCTAATGAAACAAATTACTTTTTTAATATTATTTACACTGACACAAAAATGTATGTTATATATAAATAAATATTATATATATATAAAAATAATAATATAATATTGGTATATCATTATTTTCATAATATTTTATAAGTTATTCTTGTGCGGCTCTACAAATTGAAATTTACTTACAAAGAACAAGAAGTGAATACCATAAACCGATCGAATTTAGTCGTTTATTGTATATTATTTTGTATGTACCTACCGACTACCGAGTAAGGTCCGGTAAGGGTTTACCATTGTTTTTGCCACATCGTGAAACATGAGGTGGTCTAAACCACTAGCTACGGCTTTTTATGATGTTTAAGTATCGCATGAATTTAAATAGTTTTATAGATATGCTAAGCAAAACGAGAGATTTAGAATCCGAAATTTTTTCTAAGCACAAAACTCGAAACTATTACTAGACAGAGTAGAAAAAAATTATCCCCACAACCCTTTTCAACAACTGCTTGGGGTTTTAGGACTGCAGCAATTGGATCGACACGTAGTATGAGTGAAAAACTTTTATGTGGCAGAAAAACAATTGCAAATGAACCATAACTATATTATAATATTTAATTAAAGGACTTCACGAGGATGTACAATCATAATACATCGTTTTGCAATGTTTGACTCATGTATATACGAATCTAGAGTTATCATGTATCCACATAATAAAATAGTTAGGRTTATTTTCAAAAACAAGACAACTCCAAAATTTGAAAATACTTAGATTTTAAAAAGACTCTCGATGAATCCGTGTAAAAACAGGACAAATCACATAATATGAATCATCTTATTCATGAAATAAAATATAAATGTTTGGACCTGTCTTTTTTTATTATTTTAAGATTACACACCTGGTAGTTCCAAGTAGCAATCGATTCCTAAACGTTTTTCTAAAATGGGCTTGTCTGGTTGCTGTACCTGAGAGCTTTTATCGTACAAATATAATATTATTACAATGTATTTAGACATCACGAACATACGTAGAACATTTCGCGACGACGATTTTCACACGTCGACTCGCGAACACAATATTAGTATTATTATTATTATTATTATTATATGGAACGAGACCGCTAAAATTCAGACAAAATTATACTTAATTAAAGCCACACACGACGACATCATTTTGGGTTTCATGTTGCGTAAACGGAGATCAAATKATCGAGAACTTCTAATGGTTATAAATTATATTATATATTATTATAACGCCCGACYGAGACGATTTCCAGACGTTCTCATAATATGTGGTAGGTCGTAGGTATATAGATTTATTGTTCACATCATCATCACATTAAACCTACATAATGACGACGTGACTGCTGCGGGATTCTTGATTCGATACAATTTCATATTATGTACTCTTGAATCTATRCATACCGAAACTATAGTTAAAACATAATATCATTTTATTTTAGGACTAAGCGATATTCTGAAAATGTCGATTCTTCAGCATTTTATTGATTTCATCAATTATTGAATATGGTGCAATGGTAAAATATATTTTGTTACTCCATCATAGTATTCATAGGCGTGCGCACGGGGCGA